GGCCCCCCCCCCCCCCCCTCTGCTGGTGCTTATAAGAGAAGCACCCATCGACATAAAACAAATAAATATGGAGACAAAACACCAAAAGTTGGTTTTGTAGGGAAACACTTCACGTTTGAGATTCTGATACGCTCTCCAATATGATTGAGAACAAATAGATCAGAAATTTCAAATCATGTTCTAAGAGCCACCTCCATTAGCTAAGATTTTATGACATGCTTACCCAGTTGTTAAAATGGTAAATTCACTGTTCTTTTATTCTGTGTGCAAGTAAGAATCTGTTTAGATGATTGGAGGCATTGGGTGCGTATGCTTCAGGTGGTCCAGCTGTTGGAGACATACGGTCAAGGTGTTTGAGATTGTCGGACCAAAGTACCTTGGAGGCTCTTGCTGTGCGAACATTGCTCGGTCATCGCTTGCCCCTGGATGCACAAGAAGCCAAATCAGAATGGTGGTGTAACAAATCTTGTTTGAATGATGCTTGTTCCTTTTTTATTATGCCCTGAAGTTGGTCGCAATCATTAACTGTTTACCTATATATGTTGCTTTTAAACAAGGTGAATGTTTTTGTGCTTCTGGCATGCTGTCTGTAATGTAATATTCAACAGGGAGAATGGTTCATCGGGTCTATTTTTCCTGCAGCTTATCCTCTTTCAGAAAACTGAACATTGATGTATTTCCCTCAGCGGACTGATTATCACTTGTTTGTTACTATTTCCTCAAGTGGCAACCTTAGCGTCCCTCATTATCTCCCACCACATCTTTTTTGAGTCACCCTCTGCATGTGAAGGAACATGGCATATAGACAAACATACTTTATTTCCCTCTCTGCATCATTTACGTAAACCTATGATTGGCCCTATCCATCACCCCATATGATGCTGCTTCCTAGAGTGCTGTTATGTAAATTTTGTACCTTCCTTTTGTAACATACTAACATTTATTTTTACTGATAGATATAGAGAAGGATTGCATGTTGAGTACATGTTGGAGGAATAAAAGGAATCCCACCCAAAGAGGAAAATAGAAGAGAAAGTAGTATTTGGAGTACAATCATCAGAAGAGGACAAGAAAATTTGTATGAGGAAATTGATACAAAGTGAATGCTTACTTGTACAAAAGGGGTCACAATAGAATCTTATGGAAGCCATTCATCATCTATTGAAACTTGGTGGAAGGTGAGGAGGTTCAAACAAGAAACATTAGAAAAAAGGGCCTCCCATGGAGCTGTACATACCCTTAGGAATGCTTGAAAATTTGAACATCATGAAGTATCCAAAAGCACCTAAGAAGGCTCATGATGATTTTCATGTCAAGTTAAAAGAAGAATGGAGATATAGATACTTATACCAAAAAATGGAGAGAGAGACATGCATACATGTTGGACAAGAGACAAAAAATGCAGACAGTTGAGTTTATCAAGCATGAGGATTAGAGAGGTAATTAGAGGTGGATGAGGGGGAGATTAATCAACAATGGAAGAGTTATTTTCATCAATTAGCTGGCGAAAATCACACATTGAGCTCAAGTTCGGGATAGCTTCACAATTCTAGTTATATTAGAAATTGTCTTGTGAGAGATGTAATACAAGAAATCACATGTTTGGGATGACAAGTTTAGATATTGCAAAAGATGTAGCAAAAAACATGATGTAACTCAATAAAATTCATCATCTCGAAGTAGTTTGGTTGACTTATTTGTTTGACTAGATTTTAAGGACTGTGAAAATGCTTGATGAATTGAGAAATTGATTCTGCTAGCAATGAGCAAAAAAACGCATTGTATGAAGTTTTACATAAATTCCTGAGGTATCAAAGAAACTTTGGGCGAGAGATAAGGCACAACTAAAGACATGAGATGGTGGAGTTGGAAAATCAATATAATTTGTCTACTGAAATCGACCTTAAAGAAATATTGATAGCAATGGAAGTAACTCCATCGGGTTTGCATCGACGAAAATTCAAATTATGTGGTCTCTAGATAATGTGAAGAGTGCAGAAAAGAAGAGAGTATTGGTTAGGGAGGTTGATGTATAACCATGACTAGTGTGAGATCAGTTGGAAGAGCGATGCTCATGTTTGCTTTACTGTACAAGTAAAATTTACAAAAGGTGAACTACATATTTGATTTTGAGTCCTGATTTTTTTTCTTCTCCTTTTTCCCATTGGTTATTGATGAACCTATTTCAAAAGTAAAACTTGGACATACATGTATTCAAATTCACTTTCTGCTTTCCCAAATAGGACCCTAGTATCGATGACTATCTGCAGTTCAATTACTAGATTTTGGGATGTTTTGGTGAGAAGCGTTAAGGCGGTGAGGTTTTGGCTACTTTTAGCCTCGGTGTTGAGTGAATATATGTTATTGTCAGATGGAGACTATCCTCTGTGGATTGAGTGTATTCTGTCATTAATAGACTGACAATCAATTCTTTTCCCCATACTGGACTTATTCTTTTTAACCTATGTTTGACTTCTGTTCTTTAGTTTTACGCATCCTCTTGTGCATTTTCTCACTTTACTTGTTAGATGCTTCATAGTTGAGGCATCCAGTGTTAGTTTACTAAGTTAAGAAATTGTCAGGTATGATGTTGTGGAAGGAGACCATCCACTGTGGAAAGGTGTTTCAAAACCCTATAGGGAGACAATTCGAGCTTTTTTGGCTTATTTTCAGAATCAGGTTTGTTGGATTTGATGCACGATCAGTTTATGAGTAACTTAGTACCAGGCAACACTTTGTTGTCTTTTAACTATTGGCTCATGCTCAGGACTGGATGTTTAATACCTGAATTGCTTGGTAAATATTGCTTGCAGTTGCAGATCCTCCGACGGTCTGATGAATCATTCTGTTTCAGTAATGGGAGGTACTTTATCAGTTTCAGTTGGATAATCGAAATTGCTGTGCTTCATCTTATAGCTACTAGCTATTATATGACTTTTGGTTCTATAATTCCCCCTCTTGTATTCTATTTCCAGATTAGGGCTCCTGTTTCCTATCCTTTACTTGGGTTAATTGAATACTTGCTTTGCTCCTGGTTAAACGTGACAACGAAATTGTTGAGAATACAAAACAATCTACAAATTATTGAGGTATAGTTGTAGTTGAGTTTTTCAAACAAATTTGGTGTTAACTTGGTCCCTAGGAGCTGATTTGAGTGTGTTGGAATTAAAAGGTTTATTACCTACATTGTGCAATGAATCTTGTTTTCACAGATTTGTAAATGGAAAGATGTAACCATGCCGGATCCGAATGTTTTGAAGAAAAGAAGTTCCCATAGTGGAATTCTTCATCATACCTAAGACTGATGGAGTTTAGGAATTATTTCATCAATGCACACAAGATATAAAATTGGTTTATTTTTGGGACAAACTACATTTCTCTGCACATCTGCCATAGGTTCTTAAAAATTTTTATGACGAAACCGATCTGAGTTATAGGACATCCTAATTCTCTTGCACCGAGTGTAATTAAGAAGCTCACATAAACTAACAAGCTGAGATATCCAAAAGTATCCGACCACTTTGTCATGCAACCTATACAATCTTACTTATTATTTAATTAATTTCAAAATATTTTATACCTCTTTCATTTTCACCTTTTTTGTTCGGTTATGGCAATTGTTTGGTTTGCTTTCTCATATTATTTTGCAAATAACAATGAACTAGGTATTGTAATTATGGATTAAGTTGTTTAACTAACTCCTATCACATTTGCAGCATTGGGAATTTTTTCTTTGCAGGAGCACGTATATTCTTTCAGTCTTTAGATGCTGCAATATTTCTGTTCTCACGTGTCTCGGATATCCCTGCAGAAAGTCTGGTCCTCCCAGTAATATCCACCAATGACAGGCTTACATTGGGTTGTGAATTATTGGTATGATGACCCACTTGTGTTTTGAAGGTTCAGGCATATACCTTGCAACCATTTATTATACTACGAATAGAAAGAAGCTGCCCTCATGTTTACAGTTAAAACATTAGTCGGTACATCCTCTGTGAAAGATTCTGCCTATCATATTTCTTTGGTTGTTGCTCATTTTCTTTTTCTAATTTTATTTCATGGGCCTTAAGTTGATTTACTTTGTGAAAGTTTTGTCTCTTGAAATTGTAATGGCTGACTGCTGATCTCTGATTAGCTTGCATGTGGTTTGAACATCTTTCATCATATATGGCAACCATTAATGCTTGGTGTACTTACATTTCTAGATATATACTCTGTCATATATACTTTACTTGTACTACCATGTTTAGAAAACTTTATCTGAGACGTGAATTATGCTCATAAAGAATTTCACAGCGTGAAGAATTGTTCCAAAATTCATGGAAATCTGATGGGTTGTGATGAATGTTGAAGATAACAGGAAAATCTTGTGAGCTACAACCAAGACTTATGTACTTATAAAGATAAGGTCAAATTATAATGAATATAGTGGTCTTGCTCGGAAACTAAATGTTACAGATTCTAGCAACTCGAGGAATATGAGCCATCCACTACTTCCTACAATCCTTTTTGTTTCTCAACTAACTGCAGACATCCTATTTTTTACGTAGCTGATGTGATATTCCTACAATGGTAGAGGCATGCATCTTGAATCATCAAATTGATTTCCATTTCATACGTGATTTGTAATATTAAAAGTTTATTGCCTCTTTATATATGTATCGCTAATAATGATTATTATTATTGATATTATGCAGACTCTCCAATATTTCCTTATGTGGGTACCATGAGGATACAATATGCTATGGTATCATAAGTAGAACAATACTTGGTCACATATAAAGTGGTGATTATCATTAACAATGCTGACAATGGTATCTGATGCTATATCCTTCAAGAAAAGTGCTATATATCTCTTGAGTTTGTTGCTACCAAAAGGGCATTGATAATAGGAGATTCTAGATTGGCAGAATGTGTCTAGTGCACCTAGAATGCATCAAATCGTAGTTGAGCCGTTTATTCAAAATCAGTTAGAAACATTATATTTTCGTGCTCATCACAAATTCTACTGATTGTATTCATATATTTTAAGCAAAAAATTACCTTAAAAAATATTAATTATGAGTATGGGAAATTTTTAGATTATTTTTGTTTCACATTCTTTTTGTGCTCTATTTTTAGGATGGAACTATTATACGTGGTCAGAATACAATATCTCATCCAACCAATGGATCCATGGAACCGATAAACAAGGTACACCTATTCTTGTGTTGCAAAAGTTATGTTCATGTTTCTTATTAGTGACTTATTTAATTTGTATTTCCCTTCCTTCATATAGAATGGACCACCATCACAAAAAACCCTTTTTTGGTCCTTGTAATTTGATTGGGAAGGGACATAATAATGTCTTCAATGAAAATGCAACCGATCATGTATCCTGTATGTATGTATTTGAGTGATGAATTTATATTGTGGCGGATTTATTTGGTATATGGATGGAGAGAACATTTACGGAAACCGTTGCATCAACTAAACTAACATATTATGTTGCTGAGGGGTCTGAACTACAGATGACATTCCCTACATGTTTCTTTGAAGACATTAAGTTGAGCACATAAAGTTGTCAGCTTTTGTCAGTGCTGAGTTTATTATGTTGTAGCATGCTAGTACACTACTCAGGTTATCACAGAGATTATGATAGAATTGTTCTTAATTCTCATTCTGGGAGTGGTGAGTGGTGGTGATTGTGACAAAGGTGTGGAGATGTAATAGTTAGTCTGATGGATTTTTAATGTATCATATAACCCTTGATCTTGAGTTAAATTATCGAAGTTAAATTTCAAGAATTTTAAGGAAATCTTAGTGCAGGCTGTTAAAGTCACGCCAAAATAGTTGATTTGAACTTGAAGGCTCAAATCTGATCTTAGCTGTGATTATTCTTAGTGGAAAAGAAGTTCTCCACAGATGTAAATAAAAAATTTAAACTGTTGTGGCCGAAGAAGACCAGGAGTGCATATTTAATTTTTTTTTGAATTTGTGGTTCACTTTGTGGCCAAGTTAAGTTCTATTATCTTTATTCATTTGGCTGCTGGATTCTTGTGGATAGGAAAGCTCTTCAGTTCCATCACTTCCTTCAAGAATAAAGCGGGTGTTCTACATGTCCAGTGAGGGCAGCAATTTATTGCATGAGGTGAATAATGCTTTTTATTTTTCTTTGTTGTATTAAAAATGATTTTCTTGTGGCGTTCTATTTTTATAACTTTTTTCTATTTTCTTGGTTGCACCACTTTATGTAATTATTCTTGCTAAAAAGTCCTACATTTTAAAGCTCATTTTAATTATGTTGAGAATTGTAATAATTGAAAAATCTCAATGCTTCATGTTAAACAGGTCTTCCCCTCTGTAAATCCAACTGTCTTGGATAGATTAAGCAGCGTGGACTGCATTATTTATGCTATGGGATCCCTCTTTACCTCCATCTGCCCCTCCCTGGTAATTTTGTAAACACATTATAATAATTTCTTCAAGGTTAATGAGAGTAAATCTCTCTCTCTCTCTCTCTCTTTGTGTAGTTGCTTAACCTTGGGAACCATTGGTTAGGAAATATCCATGTAGGTCATAGTGTTGATACACATCTAAGACACAAGATATAGGAAGATAACATCAGTTAGTGGTTTCGGGAGACAATTGTGGAGCTAAGATTGAGAAGAAAATTTGGGAGCTCATTAGAAATTTGATAGTTATTTGCCTGTTATTTCCTTTTTTATATTTGTGGAATTTTATGTATACCTATTTTGGTTCTTCTTTAATTGATCTTCCCAATTCTAATAAAAGCTTTCTTTCATCTCTTCTTTACCATTGGTAAAATCTTGGGCTATCAAGAGTCATTGATCTGGAGGGTAGAAACTTTGTTGAGGTTGGCTGGCCTATGTGCCCACATCATGCTATTACATCTATCAGCACTCTATTTAGACAGGGACTAGTGATGCTAGCATTGTGGCTGTGGATATATGGTTCATGTTTTTTTGTTTGGGTATGATTGAGATAGGTAATAAAGATTGTTCAGTCATCTATATGGCTCTGAAAGGGAAGAAACGGGCAGAGAATTACTCCTAAAGTGGAAAGTAAGGCGTTTTTTCATCTGTATTTTCCTATGGTAGCCCCAAACTCGGCGAATGAATTGTCAAGCAAGTCATTCTCTCTCTGTCTCTAAAATGGTATGTTCATATTATTTACTGGACAAACCTTCTGTTGTATGCATTGCGGATGCTGCTGACGTCATATGATTGGTACCATTTTTGTGTCTTTGTGATACTTATTACTCCTTGAGTAGATTGTTGAAGATGCTTGTCATTCACAGCACTAAGCCATCTATTGGGATAGTCTCGAGTCTGCATGCCTCTCACAGCGCATGATTGATGCACCAATGCTACTTTTTTGACAATCTATGTTTGGTCACACTTTCCCCTAGACCGTTATTAGTTATTCATTAGGCTTAAGTTGCTCCACGCCGGTAAATCCCTAGAGATGCTGGGAAAAGGGAAGAAAAGAGCTGGATTCATGGCAGATCTTGTATGTTTGTTGTAAATTTGTTATCATCATCTGTTGTTTGTTGATTAGAAAGTAGCAGATATTCTAGTTCTATTCTATTGTCACAATGATTATACCCCATTTGTAGGTTTTACTTGGTGTTGGGGAGATTATCTCATCAAGGTCATGTCCCAAGGTAATCCTCCATTACAGTATTAAAGTATGCCTTATTTGAAAAACAAACAGGATTAAGTAATTTTATCTGTGTCTTGTGTTCATTAATTCTGTTGGATATCTAAATGGAACACATAGGTTCTTCTGATATTCTCTTGGTGTCCTCATCTTTGAATATAGTTGGAGATGCTACATAATTGTTAACGCCTAATATTGCTGTCCATATATGTGGCATGTTTTTATTTCATTTCTTTTACTGATTTTTTTATGTGGCTTTTGGTTCTTTCCAATAACAGGTACTTCTGTTGAATGGTACACATGACCGAGAAACTAGTGGCTTCTCTGCTTCTGGCTTTGTGACTGCCATTTCAGATGCTTTAAATCGAACCTATGGAGATCCTCATAACCNGAAATATCCATGTAGGTCATAGTGTTGATACACATCTAAGACACAAGATATAGGAAGATAACATCAGTTAGTGGTTTCGGGAGACAATTGTGGAGCTAAGATTGAGAAGAAAATTTGGGAGCTCATTAGAAATTTGATAGTTATTTGCCTGTTATTTCCTTTTTTATATTTGTGGAATTTTATGTATACCTATTTTGGTTCTTCTTTAATTGATCTTCCCAATTCTAATAAAAGCTTTCTTTCATCTCTTCTTTACCATTGGTAAAATCTTGGGCTATCAAGAGTCATTGATCTGGAGGGTAGAAACTTTGTTGAGGTTGGCTGGCCTATGTGCCCACATCATGCTATTACATCTATCAGCACTCTATTTAGACAGGGACTAGTGATGCTAGCATTGTGGCTGTGGATATATGGTTCATGTTTTTTTGTTTGGGTATGATTGAGATAGGTAATAAAGATTGTTCAGTCATCTATATGGCTCTGAAAGGGAAGAAACGGGCAGAGAATTACTCCTAAAGTGGAAAGTAAGGCGTTTTTTCATCTGTATTTTCCTATGGTAGCCCCAAACTCGGCGAATGAATTGTCAAGCAAGTCATTCTCTCTCTGTCTCTAAAATGGTATGTTCATATTATTTACTGGACAAACCTTCTGTTGTATGCATTGCGGATGCTGCTGACGTCATATGATTGGTACCATTTTTGTGTCTTTGTGATACTTATTACTCCTTGAGTAGATTGTTGAAGATGCTTGTCATTCACAGCACTAAGCCATCTATTGGGATAGTCTCGAGTCTGCATGCCTCTCACAGCGCATGATTGATGCACCAATGCTACTTTTTTGACAATCTATGTTTGGTCACACTTTCCCCTAGACCGTTATTAGTTATTCATTAGGCTTAAGTTGCTCCACGCCGGTAAATCCCTAGAGATGCTGGGAAAAGGGAAGAAAAGAGCTGGATTCATGGCAGATCTTGTATGTTTGTTGTAAATTTGTTATCATCATCTGTTGTTTGTTGATTAGAAAGTAGCAGATATTCTAGTTCTATTCTATTGTCACAATGATTATACCCCATTTGTAGGTTTTACTTGGTGTTGGGGAGATTATCTCATCAAGGTCATGTCCCAAGGTAATCCTCCATTACAGTATTAAAGTATGCCTTATTTGAAAAACAAACAGGATTAAGTAATTTTATCTGTGTCTTGTGTTCATTAATTCTGTTGGATATCTAAATGGAACACATAGGTTCTTCTGATATTCTCTTGGTGTCCTCATCTTTGAATATAGTTGGAGATGCTACATAATTGTTAACGCCTAATATTGCTGTCCATATATGTGGCATGTTTTTATTTCATTTCTTTTACTGATTTTTTTATGTGGCTTTTGGTTCTTTCCAATAACAGGTACTTCTGTTGAATGGTACACATGACCGAGAAACTAGTGGCTTCTCTGCTTCTGGCTTTGTGACTGCCATTTCAGATGCTTTAAATCGAACCTATGGAGATCCTCATAACCATCTCAAGAATCATGTAAGTTAAAAGATGACGTAGTTGAAGAGTCTGCCTATCAATAAAATAATCTAAAGGATACCACCATGTATAATTTGGATCTAGGAAATAGAGGTACTTGGATTTTTCTACTTCCATGATTTCTTTTTGAAATACTCATAAATAGACTCATTTGCTGCTTCATGAACAATTTTTATATAATTTAACCCTGCCCAATTATTTGTGTCCTTTAAAAGTTGTGTTCATAGTGGTACAATAACTTTATTGAAGCATATTCCTGTTTTGTAATTCCAGTCCTTCATACAAAATGATGTATAATGCTTTTTCTTATTGATGTCTAGTGGTAATAATCTTAAGATGTGATAATAGTGACAATTTTTGTTCCCATAAATCATAACCCCTGTATTGAACATTATGGAGACGAATGATAACCTTTTTCTTCAAATCCTGATTATTGTGTGCATTTATCTTATATTGGTGAGGACCCGTGTGATGTACGGGATCCTTGAAGATTACTAAGGTAAAAACTATATAATGAAAGACTCGATAACCAACCATAAATGAAACTCAATAACATATTGCCAATTATTATCCCTCGGATCAAGACACGATGAGATTTTATTGAGTTAATAAGCATCTTGATCAAAAAAAAAGAAAAGAAAAGAACTTATGTCATGATATTTTTTTCGTGGAAGAAATAACTAAAAGCTTTAACACAAGTTTATTAAAAATTTAGAGTAAATTACACTAACACCTCGAGTTTTTGTGAAAAGTGGGGAGGGCTTAGCCACTAGGCACCCCACCACTCCTTCTCCTCTGAATCCAATCCTTAGAATCTAGTCGAATTGTTTCCCTTGAAAAACCCCTTTAGTCCTACATGAAACCCTAATCCATCCTCCTATCCGTCCCAAACACACTTTTCTTCATACCCAACCCTATCAAACCCCCTCTCCTCATAACCCACCCCAACAGAGGACGAAGACCAAAGAAAGAAATATGGAGATGTGAGAGTGTTTGTTTTGCTAGTTGTAGTGTTGGTGGTGAGTTCGATTTTATTGGAGGTGGTAGTGGCAGTCGAGGGCTGGCATTGAAGTGTAAGTTCAGGTGGTGTTGTGATGATCAAGGTGGTGTTGTGATGATTATGGTGATGGTTTTGTGGAGGCAATGGGGGAATGGCATGAGATAAGTTGTAGGGTCCAAAGAGACAATGAAGAGAGGGAGGGCTACAACCTATAGGTGGGAATTATGGTGGAGATGTGTTCAAATTTTTTAAAGGGTAGGTGGTGAAGGTTGAGATAGAGAAGGAGAGTGAGGGAGAGATTGTGAATAGTATTGGAGTTCCGGTGGTAGAAGAGGTGGGGGCCGAGTGAGAGTGAAGAAAGAGTAAGTGAAGGACTGTGGTTTGTAGGTGAAGTGGGGTTCCAGTGGTGGAGGGTGTGGGGTTGGTACAAAGGGTGGAGGAAAAGATGAGCGAGTTAACACAATTTTAGTAAGTATCGTTAACATTCTCTTTATAACTTTAATACTTCTTTGAGTAAGGAGATTTTATATGGTCGAGTTAAGGCAATAAATCATTGCACTCAATTACCCGCCTTTTCGGGTTTATTAGGGTTGAGCAGACAATAAGACGACACAGATGACTTTTTCATTTTGTTTTTGTCAATTTTAGCTTCTAATTTCCACATATTGATGTATTTTTTAATTTTATATGGAAAAATTGGTATGTTGTAATAAAATTCGAAATCCAGTTGGTTAGAAAGGTTGATTATAAGTTGAAATTAACCTCAAAGGGATGAGTGTAGTTTAATTAAACCACGTAGAGTGGGAGTATAATTTACTTTAAATTTATATAGAAATTGATTTGACTTTAGGTTTCTCATTTGATCTTGTTAGGAAAAATATTGTGTAGTGTGAAAATATGGAACAACCTTGAACACTGAAGTAATGTGGTATGACCTAGAAAGGGGGAGGGGGTGAAGAGGTTTTATACACTTAAACGCAGAATTATGCCCAAATAAAATCTAACTCACACAATCACAAATTAAACCCCTCCGTGATAAAGATTTTTCACCTAATTAGTGAATGTGTATGTCAAGTTAATGCAATTCAATGCAGCATAATCCACCAACCTTAACGCTTCAATTTCCTTCAGCCAATTCACCAAAATATATGAAAATCTAACGACCAACGACACAAGTCGCATTCACTCAAGGTTGGCGAATTTTGTTGCATGGAATTGCAAAAACTTGACATATATGTTCACTAATTAAGTTAAATCAAGAAAGGGTTTAATTTGTGATTGTGTGAGTTAGATTTTATTTAGACATAATTCAGCGTTTGAGTGCATAAGACCTATCTCCCCCCTCTAGGTCATACAACACTGCTTTAGTGTCCAAGGTCAATTTATATTTTTACACTCCCAAATCTTTTTGTTTCTTTTTGAACCTAACCAATTAGGCTTCTTTTGCAATTAAAGATGAAAAAAAAAATGAAAGATGTGGTGAAGGCATTGAGGGATTGCCACGTAGGAGAGAGAACGCCAACATTCTCTCCCAAATTTGGATTGGCAGTACATATCCTTTGCAAGGATTACTACATTGCTCTAGGACTGAAATACATTTGAAGAATATGCATTTAAGCATTCATCTCATCCGCTCATTTGCAATCTAGAAGGGAACCTATGACACATACCTTTTGTTCCTTTTTTTTTTCCCCATTTTTTTGAAATTTGCTGCCATTCACTCATTGGAACGAGGGAACAGTTTGAGGGGCCATTCCAGTTCTGACTACCCATTGTTATTCTATCATCATGTTCAGCTTCATTTAATTGTCAAGGTGTAACTTAGGCCAGCTTATAGTTCATTGTTCCACTTCATTTTGTTTCGGCATTTAGTTTATCGCTGGTAACCTCCCTCTCTCCCCAACTCCTTCAATGTATATTTCATATTCTAATATATTTCTTTCTCTATATCCGAAGTTTGTCTGCACTTGTGGGCAAAACTTTAACAATATTTGTCAATCTATTTCTAGACGCACTCTTTTGTTGAATCGAACTTGCGTAATGACCCTTAGATTAGGATAATTGACCTAAGCATATTAGAAATGCCTTTGTTTAATACTTTTTTTCTATATTTATGCTCATATCCTGTTAAATGTATTGTACGGGAATATGTTATTTGGTGTCTCAGAAAGAAAAAAAACAATTTGTGCGCTGTATTATGGTATATTTTTCTCTCCAGCCAAGTCGATACGTCAATACACTTTTGGTGCCCAAAGATGGTCAAATTACTGTAGATGCTGAGTGCTTGGCTGCCCAAGGAATTTTTCATGTGGTATGTATGGCTTGTCCAATATTTTAGGATACATGGTTGATGATTGAACAAGATATTGTTGTTGGTAGGATAACATGCTTACATTTATTGTTTTATTCAAAGCATAGGTTCGAAAGTTCATGTTCATTTATTAGGTCTTGACGTCTTGTAATCAATCTATGAATTCAGGATAATTATTTAATTATCACTATAGTGGATTATGGGATCAATTTCTGTGATCAAAAAGATTCAGATTACGTTTTCTGCTTACATTGAAGACCTGGTTCACATTAGCACTTCATCCGAGCAAAAGGAAAGACCAGGAGCCTTGTTGATTCTTTATCTACCTGGAGTGCAGTTTTCGTATTTTCTGTGTCCCTAGCATAACTATCAACATCTTTTATATGATTGTGAATCCAGTTTGTAGGCTTCAAGGATTCCTCTACAATATATGGATGTGAATGCTGGATATTGAATTAAGAATCTGTGGAAAGAAGTTCCACTTGAAGCCAAACCATTATGCCATACTTTCATTGATGGCATGTGTGTGTGGAAAGAGATGGAAAACAACGGAGAAACTAGAAATATAAGGGAGTGCAAAGCACCCTCTTAAAGTATTGAACAAAGAAAAAACTTCAAAAAGCTTGCTGGATGTTAGTTGGAGGTCATGTATATAAACATTTTTAGCAAGTCTTTTGGTTTTTAATCCATGTCTTCTATCGATGTTAAATTAGAGACCATTGCTTTAGTGTTGGTCCCAAAACTGCTGCATACTGCAGAGATTTGGTACAAATACCATCTCTTCAATCCGGGTTTTCATGCTTGTCAGCTGAACAATTTACCATTGCTCTAATCAGTGGCCATTGCTGCCTGTAGAATCTAGGGAACGAAAAACTGCTCTGTTTTTCATATAGTTTCCATCTACTTTGTGCAATGTTGACCTAGTACTTGTTTGTTTGTTATCAATCTGATAACTTGATCAAATCTAAAACTTGCAGATCACTGTTGATTCAATGCATGATCCTAAAGTGGGTATAATTTTTGACCCAAAATCATTGATACAAGCTCTTGCCGATATGTTAAGTGGACGCATGAGCTGGAATGTCACCGGGGCATAGTCAATCTTGGACAGTGCCAATAGCAATCTACAGCAAGTCAAGAAATTTTCATCTGACTATGAATTTTTGTTCTTTTCATCTCCATATTGTCTCAGGTATCTGCCACTTTAATCTTGGACAGTACTTACTCTATATATACTCTATTCTTCACGCGTTTAATTTCCTCAGGATGTCACTTCTGCTCGAACTTTGAAATTTCAGTAAGAAAACTTGAAATGATGTTTAATGCCACAGGTACATTGCAGCAATTTTATGCCTCAGGATGCATTGGAGGCCAATTTCTTTCTTTGATTCAGAATACAATTGGTTGTTAAATTTGAAAATTAGAAAACAGTAGTTTTCATTGTCTTTGATTAGATTGCGGAAGGCAAATCATATAATGTATAGAATGCACTGTGCTGTCATAAATTGTATAGAATGCCAGCTTTTATGTTTTGCAATGTAATTTCATTTTTTGCTCTCTCTCTCTCTCTCTCTCTCTCTCTCTCTCACACACACACACAC